AAAAAAAAAAGCTAATGAGATTGTGAAATCCAAGGCCTGCTTTTAGCGCCCAGCCCTGCCGCAATATCGGCGAGGATATGATGTCTCACACTTTGGCCTTTTGATGAAACACCTCTGCAACACCAGCGCGTCACCTTAGCCTGCAATTTCACACATCAGCTGCCATGGTATCCGCCCCAAGAGCCCCCGTTTCGCCTTGCACTAATGAGTCAACACCTGTTAGAGTGGAGACATCCGAAGCTCGTTAGCGAGCAGGCGCTCACCTCCAGCATGTCTGTGCTCAGGACCCTGGCCGCCGCCGTAATGAAGTCTCCTATCAGCATGGTGAAGCCAGGTAAGCCCAGGAAGAAAAACCAAGGTGGGCAGTGCTTTATGACAGTATGTAAGATATCCTGAAAGAGAAGTTTCAGGAGAAATCAGCCGAAACAGGAAAGAAAAAAAAAAAAAAAAATTTTCTAAAGCAACTTAGGTCTTTTCAGTCTGGCTTCTGTAGTTTTCAAGTGCCAGCTTGAAAAAAAAAAAAAAAAAAAGCAAAAACCACAAAACAACCCCAAAAGCAAGAGGGAGATTCAGATGAATCGAGGTGATGATTCAGTGCCACACAGCTCAACGTTACAACCACTACCTTCCCCTCCAGAGGCATTTAGTAGGAAAAGTGCATTTTGCATTTTGGCAATATTTGTACTCTTAAATCCCTGTTTAAAAAAAAAAACAAACTCAAAAAACAAGCAAACCCCAACAGAAAAACTACACGTCTCTTCACGTCTCAGCATAAAAGTTGCCCTCAAAAAACAAACAAACCCCAACAGAAAAACTACACGTGTCTCTTCACGTCTCAGCATAAAAGTTGCCCTGTTAGAAAAGCCTTTGGGTTCAAAACGTTAATCGATTTAAAATGAAGCATTGCACCACTCCGAATGAGCTATTTCCTAAAATCACATTACTCAAAAATTCTGCAGCCATAAAAAGATGAGATGACACAAATGACGGCCGCCTTTGCCCCGACGGAGCTCCAGGCAGTAATTGACAGCAGGTGGCTTCCTACTGCCAGGCTGCTCCAGCCCAGAAGGGATTTTTTTTTGGCTCAACGTTACAACCACTACCTTCCCCTCCAGAGGCATTTAGTAGGAAAAGTGCATTTTGCATTTTGGCAATATTTGTACTCTTAAATCCCTGTTTAAAAAAAAAAACAAACTCAAAAAACAAGCAAACCCCAACAGAAAAACTACACGTCTCTTCACGTCTCAGCATAAAAGTTGCCCTGTTAGAAAAGACTTTGGGTTCAAAACGTTAATCGATTTAAAATGAAGCATTGCACCACTCCGAATGAGCTATTTCCTAAAATCACATTACTCAAAAATTCTGCAGCCATAAAAAGATGAGATGACACAAATGACGGCCGCCTTTGCCCCGACGGAGCTCCAGGCAGTAACTGACAGCAGGTGGCTTCCTACTGCCAGGCTGCTCCAGCCCAGAAGGGATTTTTTTTTGTGTGTTTTAGTTCTTCTGCACTAGTTGAGAAATACAGCCGTGTCAAATGCAAGAAGTCATCACGCACAGCACGGTAACGCAGATAAATGTAGGCTTACTACATTAGTCTAAATCACTCTTCTAAATAATTAAGACGGCAAACATAGATAAGCCCTGGGTGGGGAAAAAAATAAAAAAAATAAAAAGAGTTTTTCTGAACTTCTGAAGGAACAGAGGGGTGGTTTTGTTTTGAAGAGGTAGCACTATATGTGTATGAACAGACCACCGACCACAGCCTGGCTCTCATCATGACCCTGTGACAGAGAGCACATTCCAGATAAGCTTTTCAACTTTAATCCTTCCACGTTTCGATTCTTCACAGTCGCTCCAAATCAGAGCAAAGTTCCTGTATTTGAGTTAAGATTTCCTTCCCACAAGGTTTCAGCAGGTTTAAAATTACGCACAAAATCTATATAATCCTTACCTGCAACATATTTGCTTAAGAATTAGAGAAAGCTATTTCTATTTTGAGTAGAAAATTATTTTTCATCTCAATAGAATTTCAAGGAAAAGGTGAAAAGGAAAGCCATCTTCAACGTCCATCATTACTGGCTGAAGGGTTAAAGAAGGCTTGAACTTAAAACTTTGTCCCAGAATGTGTCCACGGGCTTGATTTCTACATCAAAAACTCAAGCAAACTCATTTTTCTCTATATGAAGATATGCTTCAACTACACTTTTTCTCACAGCACTGCTAAACACCTGGACAGAACCTGTTCAGGGTTCTGCTAAGTGTTTACAGCAGTAACATCTGATGAAATAACTGTGTGTTATATATTTTAAATCAATAATACTAGTTTTTAACATAGTAGCAGATAATGCTTTCGCTTTCCTGAATAAGCTAAAATGCCACTCGAGTTAATGTTTAAACTACTTTTAATCACTTCCTTTGATACATTTTAAAGTCAATATCGGACAATGCAAACATTCAAAAAGAGAGAGCAGATGGATGCAGCGGCTCATAAAGTGGGTGGTAAACTCCTGCTCCCAGCAGAACAAAAGACCCACCTTTTCATAATTAAGGGTCTGATTAATGCACCGGGCTCCTCACAACACAACGCACCTGTAATTACAGACGGAGCCAGGTACTGGGATGCGTTTGGTCCCTGAATAATTGGGCCTGGAAGTCTAGAGCAGCAGATGGGAGTACGCTCCTGTTGACATATGCCACAATAAAAAAAGCCCGTGCTAACCTGGCCTGAAAGGTAACAGAACGTAGGAAGTACAAAGACCTGCTACAAACAACGGCCTTATCTCCCCTCCTCGCTCCATCAATCCCATCTGTTAAATACCACCGTAACGATCAGCCGGCTCCATCCACTCTTAGCTTAGAAAACGTGGATAAAATAGAAACTGCAAAGCCACTACTTCAACGTATTAATACCCAAGTTTACGCACACAATTCCAAAAAGCTGCAAAAATGTGGTTGTGCGGATCTACTTGGGGTTCGTGAGCTGTATTACTACTAAAAAGAAAAAAAAAAATAAATTATTTCTCATACTAAGAAACCTTTGAAAAATATACTTTGAAAAGCTCACGAAACAATCCACAATTCTTCTTTTTTCTTTTGTTCTGTAGCTTCAAAGGGATGAATTCACAGCAGAGCTCGCACACCGCGGCGATGCCACACGCACGTCACTGCTAAAAGTTAACGAGGGACAAGGGGATAAGAGCCCGGACAGGAACACGGTCAGCCCAGCCTGCCCTGAGTTTCCCTGCCATTTTTCATCTCCGGCACCTCAGGATCAATTTGTGCTAGTTTACTGACTTCATTTAAATTAATATGAGGCAGAAGATGCCCTAACTATAATATTGTTCTACTGGAGCTTAGAGAACGGACAGGAAAGAAACCACACTCCAGGGAAGCCCTTACAGGTGAAATTTCAGTTTTTCCTCCCATTTCCCAATTAGCACACTTTCATGCACAATCCAGCTCACAATGAAAGCGTGATTTCACGCAGTAATTCAGTAGCATTGCAAGCTTATCAGAAGATTCAGGCTTATGAGAAAGCAACCAAGTGAGAACATATGTCCTATCAGTGATATTGCAAAAATCAGGTAATTCAAACAGACGCAAGTTGTTTCCTTCCCTTCAAAGCACTGTTCTATAAATGTAAACTGTTCAGCAGCTTACAGCCTAGTAAATGAATCACTTTAATTGAATGCTATGTACACAGTAACTGGAAAAAACACAAGCAATAAGAAAAACATATGGTGATGGCAATAGAAATTGGTTTACTCATTCTGCGCAGTGTTGTTTCTTTACTTCTTTCATAATTGACCTTTAGAACGATAAATGTGTAAAATAATTTTGGTTTATTATGGCTCCAAACCTTTCAGCAATTACACAAAATGAAAATTTAAAAGGAAGTATTCATTCTGGAAGCATTTCCATTGTTTACATAATTGCACAGCTATAATTTAGTCTTCATGTTGTTAAAGAAATGTGAAAAAAGGACCATTATGGACTATTTCAATTCAAAATGATGCTCTGTAGTGTTAAAAATGGGGAGGAGGAGAGAGAAGGGCGCAATCACATGCATGTCCTTCTCAAATGCATTAACCCTATAAATGGCATAATATTTCAGTATAGGTTAATCTAGTAATCTGAATAATAAGGTCATAAACATCCACTGAGTAAGTGAAAAAAATTTATGCAAGTTCACTGAAAGGGCAATTACAAAAATATTCTTCACCTAATTTTTGTTCAGGCTTTTGCAGATTACAGGTGTAACCAAATAGCCTGCCATCTGCCTTCATCACGTTTCCAATTGTCCCTCAACAGGAACAACATGGATTTTTCACTTACAGTTCGCTCTGTTCCTCACTAAGAGAGCCTCATTAGGGGCTGAAATTTACAGCACAGGAAAGATTATTAATTTACACAAGACTTAAGCGGTAAATCCATTTTTTTTTAAATTTTATTTTAAAGGAACAAACATTTCTATTTACTTATACCAAGTTCTGCTAGTTATCATTACATTTTAGGTAAGAGTTGACGTGTCAAAAACTAAGTTCCAATAAAAATATATGAAGTATTTTGACACCCTCAGAAAGCACAGGATTAGCTTGGCAGAGAAATCCATTTTGATCTGTCATTTAAATCTAACTTCCAAAAAAGTTATCTTTGCTAAAGTACCTTATGACTGGAATGCGATAGGGAGAGATACTAAAAAACAGAGTAACACTGCATTTGTAAAACATGGAGAAGGTTATTCACAAGCGCTAAAGGTGACAGATTACTGTGTAAATCACCTGCTGGTAATTGCTCCTTCCTCTCTAGACTATATTAGAAAGCTTTCTCTTTTAAAGTCATATTAATAACAACACGCCCACCCCAAAGCCCTTGTGCCGACAGAGAGATGCTCAGATGCCCTTTTAACAGAGATCAGGCAAACATATCAAGTGAACAGAATTTTTCAAGTTTCACTGAATTTCACTGAATTTTTAGAGTTGGAAGGGACCATAGAGATCATCTAGTCCAACTCCCCTGCTGAAGCAGGATTGCCTAGAGCTTGTCAGAGCATGTTACTCAGGAGCATCCAGGTGGGGCTTGAAAATCTCCAAAGAAGGGGACTCCACACCCTCCCTGGGCAGCCTCTGCCAGGGCTCTGTCACCCTCACCCCAAAGAGGCCCTTCCTCAGATTGGAGTGGAACTTCCCATGGTCCAACTTGTGCCCGTTGCCCCTCGTCCTGTCACTGGGAACCACTGAAAAGAGTCTGGCTCCCTCCTCCTTCAACCCACCCTTTAGATCCTTGTCAGCATTAATAAGGTCTCCCCTCAGCCTTCTCTTCTCCAGGCTCAAGAGCCCCAGCTCTCTCAGTCTTTCCTCATCAGGGAGATGCTCCAATCCTTGAATCA